CCGCCCCGCCTGTGGCGCCTACCTGCCGAGGGGGTGATCTGCCAAGGTCTGGGAGGTGAAAGTCTGAGACGTCGCTCTGGCACTGGCAAAACCCCACCGTCCAAGCCGCGGTGAGAAACCAGAGGTGGCAAGGCTCGAGCTGTTCCGGCTAGTGTCACCAAGAAACCACTGAGTGTCCGGCTCCGGTGCCTCAGCTTTATAAGAGCAGAGGGGGCGGGGCTTGGGCTGCCCTCGCGCCCTCCCATTCTTCCCTCGGGCGCGCGCGGGCCTCTGCATTCGGGCGCGCGCATTGCAGCCCGAGGATGTGGGATTGCGGTGAGGGTCCCTCATGCCCAGAGGGCTCAGAGATGAGCTCCAGAGATTGGTTCAGGAACTACCACAAGCCTAAATCTTCAGAACATAAACCAGGGAGAAGCAGGGCCGGTACAACCTCTTGGGGTCCTTACTCAGGACCTATGCAACCCAGAGTGTGAGGCCTACTGGCACGGAACTGCAGCAGTCAGCGGGAGGTACCACGCGTATGGCCCGAGCCCCGGACCTCGGGAGCGGTGGCCTCGAGTGGACCGCGCCCCCTGCCGGCTCGGCGCCTGACCTGACCGCGACCCCAGACTCCTGCAGAGCCGCAGGGGCAGGACACAGAGCAGAGACTGGAGGAGTGGGGCTCGCCAGCACCCCCCGAGAGGATGAGACTCCAAGGTTCTGGGATGGGCTAGAAAGATTTCGCAATAAGGGCAAGGCTCGGGAAGGCTGATTTGAGAATTGGGATTTGGAGGGGGGGAATTATCTGAAGCTTCAGAATTTAGTTGCCTATTTGGAAATATGGGAATAACTAAAATTAGGACGGACGACACCGTTTCGTTTCCTTCCCCTTGTAATCCAATTATTCCTTACAAGGGTACAACCTGAGAGTTTGCCTGGCTACCTTCGGAGACTTCATTCACCCATTGTAAACGTGTGGATTTACAGCCTGGGAGCACACTAATGCTTCACCTATGTTAATCGCTTTAGAGTTTACAAAACAGTCACATCCTGATCTTTGATCCAGACACCCACCCTTGAGTTAAGCGAGTTAAGTTAACATTACTGTTCTCATTTCCCAAGGAGAAAATTGAAGTTCAGAGAGAGGAGGTATTTGACCAAAGTCACACCAAAGGTAGGGAGCAATAAAGTCCTAACTCGGCCAGGGAAGCAAACACCGCAGACCGGGGCGCGGCATGGATATTTCTAGGCTGGGGTCATCATGCCGTCAGGGGGGAGAGGAGAATCCTAGCCCCCGCCCAAGGATTTATGCCTATTCATGATGAGTCACCCCCAAGCACGTTTGTCACCCTTTTGTGTCCTTCCCTCACCTCTTCTTGACTTCATTTTCTTCTTTTCTGAGGGCCAAACTGGAAGGGAACTCAGCCCCGCGGGGCTTCCTAGTTCTTGGATTCCGGCTTCTGGTATCCTATCACCACCCACTGCCCCACTCGCAAGTCCTGAAGCCTGGTGCCTAGACCAAGAGGCTGTGGTCCCGGGACCATTGGGACTCTGCCGACCAGCTTCCAGTCCCCACCCCGAGGCTGTGTAAACGTGGGCAAATTAAGTTTCCCCATCTATGACATGTCTTCTGCAGATTTCTACGCTTCCTACCTGCTCTGCCAAATTGGTCCTGAGACCCATTGCAAAGAAGACTGGGCGCTAGGTGGCAGGGAATGGCCTGGTCTGGGCCACATACTGCTGGTTCAGCGGCCTTTTCATTCTCAGGACTGAACCATGGACATTTTACCCCAGGAAGGAATGGCTGCCGCCGATGTTATTTATTCTGAGGACTCTTCCCCCAAGGGAATCACCTGAATGGACCTGAGTTCCGGCTGAGGGTTGGGGGGCAGATTCCTGACTCTGGCTGTGGCACTGACTCTCGCAAGGGCTGGGGTCAGAGGGGTGCAGCGTAGCATAGTGGCTGGGTTCCAGCCGCCTGGAGGGCTGCAGGGCTGTCACTGCAGCAGGCGGCTCTTCCGTTGGTACCTCAGACAGTGGATATTACTGTGCGCCTGCTGTTTCCAGGAGCCTCCCCCAGCCAAACTATTCTGCTTCTCTCCCACTTCCCATCTCTTCCTCAGGCTCTCCGCACCAACCTTGTCCAAGACAGGCTGGCTGTCAGTTTTGTCTGAGGATGCGAGTTACTTGTCGCCAGCTTCCAGTTGGGTACGCGCCAAGACAGGTTTTACTTTCATTTCCCTGGCGCGCGAGTCTCGACTTCTGTAAAGGTCAAGGACAGCTGGGCGCCGGCCCACAGCCAGGGTAGGTCCCGTGGTCTGGACTCGTTCCTTCCAGTTCCCACCAGCCCTGGGCGGTCGGTCTGCAGAGGACTCTGTGCTGTCCCCTCGTTGCCTCCTCTCTGTGTCTTTTTGGAGAGCCTATGATTCCGTGGGAGTGGGTGGAGAGTTGGGGGTTGGGGGGAATTGGCTTTAGTTCCTCTGCAGGATCGCGAAGCGTGCTCTAGATGCAAACTTCGCTTTGAGCTACGGGCTGCTTCAACAAGCAAAGCAAACCCTGGAGGGGAGACTGGGCTCCGCTCCGCCTGGCTCCAGTGGCTACACCAGCGACTTAGCAGCGATACCAGGAATTCCCACCTGAGAGAGCCTTGGCACAATTCTTATCAGCCCAGGTGACCCTTGGCGCTCTAGCGCTTAGAGATCTGACGCTTGAAACCCCCGCCAATCATTTCCCCCCCATTTTTTTAAGTACTGAATTGGCAGCTCGGGATCTTGCTAGAACACCGTATCTTCGAAAGTGTGTGCGTGTGTCTGCGCGCGCGCGCGTTTGCGTAAGCGAGCGACAAGAGCCCGAGCGTTCCGTTGGGGGGGGTCATAGGGTATACGTTGTAAAAATATATAAAATTATACAAAATTTGCCAGATGTTGGCATCTTTTTCTCCCATTCTACTTTGGTTCGCTTAATCATCTCAGAAGAAACACACACACACACACACACACACACGCAC